ACTGAGTTTTGGGTGGAGAGAGACGTTTCAAAGAGGACGCCGCTGATTGCCAGTGGTTTTCCGCCAGCCTTCTGAGCGCTGCTTCTGCATCCTTGTCGGAAGCATCGACCATAAATACCAATGGTAGATCGACATCAGGATATTTTAGGGCTGCGACGTCTGCTGAGGCGATCTTCAATTTTTCGATGGCTTCTGTAGAGTTCGGAGTCCCTTGGGTTTCTTCTCAAGGCCTCGTTCAGGGGTAGCATATGCTGCGTAAAGCGTGATATGAGTCTGGGATAAAAATTAATCAGACCAAGAAAACTTCTTATTTGAGCTAAGGATGTGGGTAGCCAGTGCTGGCCGATAGCAGCCACGTCTTCGGCACTGATGATATTCCCTCTCTATTAGCCGTGTGTCCTAAGGGTTCACTAGTCCCGGCTACGAAGGTACACTTACTTTGATCTATCATCATACCGTTTTCATTCAGTTTTTTTAAACTGCTCATGCGCGATCCTCATGTGGGTGCGTATGCGGGCTGGCAATCAGCAAATCACCGGTGTATGCTAGAAAGTTTGTACGGAATTCCGAGGGCCGAAAGGCGTCCGCACAAACGCGTATGAAATGAATGGAATGGTGATGGCCGCTTTGGAATATCCTCTTCGGCGGAAAGAATATTGTGGTATAAGCGGACGAGGTGGATTTTAGTGAATGCAGCGGCACCTTTAAAACAGTCAGGAAACCCTGAAAGTGAAGTACTGGGTACTTGTCGGGAATAGTTTATTCCTCCAGCCCTCCATAATCACCAAGTAGTTGCCAGTCTGTTTGATTTTTCGTTGAGACTATATGTAATGGGGAAGCACACTGACCACCGGAAGGACGGATGATGACTGACTGAAGCATTTAAGCGAACTGAGCCCTGGCGATTTTCATTTTATCCGGCGCTAGCCTCCTAGGTCTTGCGAATACAGGCGGTTCTTGCGCTCTAATTCTGTGTCACTGCTGTCACCCACGGTACGGCCTAACAGTCCACGAGTGGTGCGGGCCAAGAAGACTACGAACGGTATGAGCCTAACGCGCAAACGAATTGACTGTACTGCGAATCAAAACGCCAACCACCAGCACAACAATATCACCGACAAGTCAAGACAAGCATACAGGACAGGCCGTTCACTCTCTCAACAGCTATCAGTGCAGCTGGCAGTGGCAATGACTATATACGCTCCCAAATGACCTTTACAACCCTAAATACACATACGGGTTGAAGTAGTCAACCGACGAGGGTTTAGCTTTGAGAGGAGAGTGAAGAAAAACTAGCAACGGTGGTGAATTAGCCGTGTTGACTATTTTAAGGTCATGGGCAAAACAGCAGGCAAAGCCAAGCAAAACTAGGGGTATGTAGCAGTCACTTAAGGACTTCTGTTGGAAGTTTGTGCGTTAGGCGATGTTGGGTTTGTGGAATCCCCAGCGTATATGCGAAACCCTTCGGTTGATGTTGGAGGAAAATGTATCGGGTTTAAGGATGTGACGGCACTAGCACTGGAGTTTTGAAACTGTCAAGGTCTTCCTCTTGGCCCATGTCTAATGGCTGGCTTGCCTCCTTGGCCCTGACTCGGCTGAATTCGAGCCAAAGCTTCTGTCGGTGCTTTCACATCTGTCATTATTTCTGTAATGGCTGCGTGCTAAAATGAACCTTGACCACTATAATATACCGCCTGTCCTGGGCTGTACCTCTCTCCATGATGCGATCCGCTATTCGATCCAGTTCCGGAAGTGTAGTCTTTCGGTCCTGTGCATCAAGCTCATGCTGGACATGATGCAGCAGTGCCGGGATCTAAAATCCATGGGGGTGACTTCTCTGATAGTACTGCCTTCAACTATCTGGAGTCCCGTCTTCCTTAGCTGCCCTGCCTCCCCTGCCAACTCGTTAGTTTTCGCCTGTAGATCTTCAAGTTTGTGTGACATCAGACACAAGTCATCACTGGCGAAATCCAGATCTTCTAGGTTCTTTTCCGCAGTCCAGCCAGTGTATCCCCCTCTTCTAGCTCCCCACTGTTTGCTGCATGATCCAGTCCACTAGACCACAATCAGGAATATCATGGGGGATAGTAGGCAACCTTGTTTCACTCCTGTCTTCAATTCACCCCAAAGGCATCACTGAGCTTCCCATTGTGAATTACTTGGCATGTGGCATCTTCATATAGTTGTTGAATGAGGTTGATAAAGGTTTGTGGTATTCCGTAGTGTTGAAGCAGTTTCCAGATTACTACTCGGTTGACACTGTCAAAGGCCTTCTCAAAGCCGATGAAGCTGAGGTGTAGAGTTGACTGCCATTCTATACTCTGTCGTATGTTAATGCGAAGCATTTCAATTTGGTCTGCACATGATTTGTACTTCCTGAAACCAGCCTGCCTGTTCCGGTCGTAGTTTTGGATCCAGCGCCTCCTTTAGTGTGTCCAAGATGATGTGGCCTAATATTTTGCTTGCTCTGGGTGGATAGGAGAGTGATTCTGCGCCAGTTCTTGCAAACACTAAGGTCTCCCTTCTTTGGAAGTTTGACAAGGTAACCCTTCTTCCAGTCAACCGGCAGGTTCCTTCTCTTCCTTCCACACCTTCCGCAATAGTGGTGTGAGCATGTCCACTGTTGTCTCTGCGTCTGTTTTCAGTGCTTCTGGTGGAATTCTATCTGGTCCTGCTGCTTTCCCACATTTCAGTAGCTTTATGGCGTTCAGGACTTCCACTTTTGTTTGAGGATTTATGTTCACTTGTAGTTCTATAGCTGGGTTGCAGGTGGTATTTCTGGACGAAGTGCAGGTGGTGGTGGTGGTGGTGGTCGATTCAAGAGCTTCTTGAAGTGGTCGGCTCATCGTTTCCTTTGTTTCTCTTATTTCGTAATTATATTTCCTTCTTCATCTTTTATTGGTTTCATCTGTGTTGATCTCCTCCCAGATAGTAACCTGGTTATTTGATACGATGTTGTCAAGCCTCTGTTTCTCCTACCAGCAGCCTGTTCTGCTTCACTTGCCAGTGTTTCGTAGAAGTGTATTTTGTCTTTGCGTGCACTCTTCTTCACCTCTTTGTCCAGTGTAGTGTTTTATACATTGTGCTCACTTCCGCTTCTCGTCGTTCATCCTTGCACTGGTTTATCCTCTGCTTCACCATCCTCCTCTCCCTGCTCTATCAGCTTCCATGTATCCATTGAGATCCATTCCTTGTCTTCTTTCTTCTTCCTTCCTAATACGCCTGTGCAGGTTTCTTTCCACATCTCTTTCACTGAGTTCCAGTGTTCTTCCACACAGGTTTCTTCAGGAATATTCCTCGATATCTCCCGTTTTGTCTTGATGGCTGGCTGCCGTGAAGATTTCCTCTGTAGTTTCATCCTTCAGTTCAGTTTCCGAGTGTTGTACTTGAATTGTGGCCTATCACCAGCTTCCTTGAAGGCTTTCAACTTGATTTGGAGGGTTCCTTGCACTAGACAGTGAATGGTGTGAACCTCCATCTGCTCCTCTTCTTGACCCTGTGTCAAGTAGGCTGAATGCGTCTCCACTTTCTTGAGATTGAGATGAAGTCGATCTGATTTTAAGTGTGTCCTGGTGTCTGGTGGAATCAAATCCATGTCGCTTTGTGGATATCCTTGTGCTTGAACACACTGCCTCACCTTCAATCACCAAATCGTTGAATGCACAGAATTCTGCAAACAATTCTCCATTCTCGTTCATCACCTCACCGAGCGCTTCTCTACCCATGGTTAGTTCTGTTCCTGTGTTGTCTGCTCCCAGTTTGGCATTCATGTCGCCCATTAGAATTTTGATATAGCCAACTGACGTCTTGTCCAGTGTTGATTGAAGTTGTCTGTAGAATTCCTCCTTTTTCTCTTCATCTGCATTATTTGTAGGTGCATAGTGTAGCATTGTGATTGTGACCTTCCTTCCTTCCTTTTGAGTTGAACCTTGCTGTCATGATCCTGGAGGAGATTAGTTCTCACTGCATGAGAGCCTTCGATGCTGTTGGGGACATCATGATAGCCACTCCAACACCCAGTGTGCTCGTGGTTGTCGTCTGGGTGACAATATCAGAGTAGATTATAGACTCTCCTCTCCAGTTGACAGTTTGGAGAGTCCACTTCCATTCCATCTGCTTTCGTAAATTCCAAGCACTTCAATGTGATACCTTCTCATCTCCTTTGCAATCTGGGCTGCCTTGTTGGGTTCAAACATGGTGTGGACATTCCATGTCCCCACGTTTACTTTCGCTTTCATCGAGAGAAGATACATCAGCCAATTGGCTTCCCGAAGGCTTTCACCAACTGGCGTCATTTCGCCTCTCCGATTCCAGAGAGGAATAATTTCGTTATTATTTTTTATATATCGTTTGTGCTTTGAAGTTTCTTTAGCGGTTATATTTGTTTTTCGGGTAGGGTTGCTAGGCCTATGCCCAACATTCCCTCTTTATGGGGGCTTAGGACCGGCTAGTAACTAGTGAACTAATTAATCAGGAGAGGCTGCTGAATCGTGAAGTGAATGTTAAATATACCGACATATAGAGTGACTTGTTTGTTATATTATAAGTGGTTGGAGTTCTTAAAATGATAAGACATGTTACCTAACAGGTTTAAGTGGCACCCATGTCTGACACTTTCGAAACAACATCCTTCAGTTAGTTAGTGAACAGTGATAAATAAAGCTAGAGTTGTAAAAGCGTTTTCCCATTTGTAGACCTTGTCACCAATTATTACAGAGAATACAAGAACCAGTTAATCTCTTCTATTCACTTAAATTGTTTCAGACGAAGCGAACATCTTGATGTTGTGCCTATTAGGGAACTAAGCCAATCATACGGATGTCGAAACCAAGGAAGAAATAGACATTTATGCCATGCCAGTTTCGAATGTTGTATGTGCTTCTGTGGTGTAAAAATTGTCAAATTCAAAATTTGCAGTTAAATCCCATCCATGAAGAGAGTGCAATAAAACCTCAGAGCTCTTGTGTTTGACAGCGGTAGTTTTGTTTGTTGGTTTGCATCGACAAGATGAATCCGTCTTCTACGCGCCAGATTTGAGTTGTGTTTGGAATGTCTGAACTACCCAGAAGGAGCATATTGTCGGATTTCGACATCGGAAAGCAACTTGGTCGTGGAAAGTTTGGTACTGTTTTCGTCGCCAGAACCAAAAAATCTCATTTGCCATGCGCAATAAAGGTAAGTACGTGTTTCGAAAGCTTCCCAGCCTAGTAGGTTATTTTCAAGAAACAAATAGTAGCAAACAAGCTGGAGCACCAAATGCGACGAGAGATTGAGATTATGTGTCATCTGCAGCACCCTCATATTCTGCAGCTGTATACGTACTTTTATGACCATAAAAGGATATATCTGGTGCTTGAATATGCATACCTGGGTCAAATGTATACTGAACTTCGAAGGCTAGGGCGATTTAGCGAGTCGCGTGCAGCTACCGTATGTTTCACTATTCTGATTGCTTTCTCAGTATGTATATCAGCTCTGTGATGCGTTGGTGTATTGCCATGGCAAGAAAGTCATTCACCGCGATATAAAACCTGAGAACTTACTGTTAGGTTTTCGTCAGGAACTGAAGTTGTCAGATTTTGGATGGTCAGTACACTCTCAATCATTAAGGTATGAGATGTATTAAGTCATACTGTTCTGTAAGCTTTGGTGTTTGTAGGTATTATTCTAATGAACATTCACTTTAATCACTCTGAATTTTTCGATCAAAAGTCCTGTATGTAGACGCACTTGTCCCTACCCAATAATATGCTTTAGTGTGGTAAGGGCGCCACGTAATATCCATTCCCAACATTTTCCAATACACAGTTCCATATGAAGCTGCTTTTCAACCATTCGATAGTACAACCGATATTCAATCAATCATTATCAACATAGGACCAGGCGTTACTGCGTAACTGTCCGAGTCGCCACACCTCACGTCACTTCATCAAGTAGGAAGGTAGTGAGGTGAAGGATGAAGATAAGTGAGTGCAGTCAAAAGAAACACAAAGTACGAGAAGAAAGGAAAGGAGTTACAAAGTGGTGAGATTCGGTATAGTGCAGTTAAGGTGAGGATAATGTGTGTGGGCATACATCTGCTCCACTGACATCGGTCCTGAGCCATATCACCTAGAGTCTCCAACCACTGGTTCCTCTTGTCCCGCGGACCCCAACCACCTAGTCCGCATTGTCCTACGTGGCTTAAACCAACAGTCAGAGACTTCATACATTGGTGCTATATTTTAGTCTGGCCACCTCGGACCTTTTCACAGCCTGGACCCACCTCAGCCAACATTGTGTGACGAGGCAATCGGTGACTAGGCGTACGTAACACGTGTCCCAACCATCTCAGTCGATGAAGGTTCATAACCTCGTCAACTGATTTACCTCTTCTCCCTAAAACTCTACACCTGACTTCTGCATTACTCACGTAGTGATACCACGGAATACGTCCTATACTACGAAGGCAACGGTGGTCAAACACCTGAAGCCTTCTCATATCTTCCACTTTCAATGGCCATGTTTCACAGCCATACAGTAGAACAGGGTGGACTTAATAGACAAACGGATATCACGGTGGCGCAAATTGGCAAAAGCCAATCGAGCCTTTTGTATCCGTGCAGAAATCTCATCGGCAACTAACCCACCGGGTTGATCCTACTTCCCAGGTAAGTGAAGTGGTCAACACACTCAACCACTTCACTCTCTATTGTTAACCGCGGTACCGCTGAAGACCAGTCCTGGAGCAAAAATTTGCATTTGGGTGGTGAAAATCGCATCCCAAACATTCTCAAATTCCCACTCAAAGTGTTCAGAAGACTCTGCATCTTGTCAGCGTCTTCACCTAACAGGACTATGTCATCTGCATATTCTAGATCTAAGGAAAATTCACCTGTGATCGGGTCAACGTCTTTGTAATTAGGTGACGAGAGGGAAACCTCCATAAGAATATCTATGATAAAATTAAATAAGAATGGGGATAGTGGGCATCCTTGACGGACACCACTTGATGAGTATAGCTCCCTGGACAACTCACCATAGGCTCTAACATGCCCACAAGTGTTCGAGTAGAGAGCTTTCAATAAGGTGATGTACTTACTAGGCACGCCTTTCAGTGACAGACACTGCCATAAGACTTCTCGATCAACGGAGTCAAATGCCGCCTTCAGGTCGAGAAATACAGCTATTGTCGGGCGTCTGTAAGCATGCCTATGTTCCAGGACCTGGCGCAGTGTGAATATTTGGTCGATACATCCACGGCCAGGTCTAAAGCCTGCCTGGTTTTCTCGGGCTTGCTGTTCCCGAGCTCCACTCAGGCGTCGGAGAATTATAGAACTTAGGATCTTAGACACTATGTTTGTCAGGCTGATTCCTCTGTGGTTATCACAAGAGGACTTCTCGCCTTTCTTGAAGACTGGGATGATGAGTGACTTAGACCAGTCGGAGGGGATCGTATTTGATTCCCATATACTGGCTAACACTTCCGTTAGCCTGACTAAGAGAACTCTACCACCATTCTTGTATACCTCAGCAGGTAGTCCGTCTGGTCCTGCTGCCCTTCCTCGTTTCAGGCTACCTACCGCTTTCTCAACTTCTTCTAGTGTTGGGGGACCTGTCTCTATGTCCCATTCAGGGTCCGACTGGATAGCGGGCAGCGCAATGGTGGCTGGAGGCCAGTTAAACTGTTCCTCAAAGTGTTCTGCCCATCGTCCCAGTCGCCTTCCCTGCGAGTGAATCGCAGATCCGTCCTTCTCCGCTATAACCTCACTAACTGTTGTTGACCATTTCCCCCCAGTCTCCTTAATAAGTCTAAATAACTGTCTACTGTTACCGATCGCCGCTGCCTTTTCCATCTCTTTAGCCTTTGCTGCCCACCACTGTTCACGATCGTTGCGCAGACTTTTCGTCAGTTATTTTTAAGTTGCGCTCGCTCTTCATTGTACTCAGAGCCTGCAGGGATGCATTCACGTGCATCCATTAGTTTGGAAGAAGCTGCTGATATCCACTGGCTCTTTTTAGCCATTATCTTGGAGTCGGCTACAGTCTCCAGTGCTGCTTTTACAGTAGACTGAAGATGGCACCAAGCTTCTTCTGGATGAGTGACAGTCTTTTGTTCCGATAACTGCCTAGCCAACTTCTCACTGAACACGGCTTTGGTGTTTTCGTTGTCCAGCAGAACTCGTAGTGGTTTTGTTGCCAAATTTTTTCTACGTCCATTGAGACGCAGGCATATACGTGCTCGGACCAACGCATGATCGCTGTCCAAACACGTACTCCAGAAGGAGCGGCAGTCTTCCACCGATCCTCTCCAGCGATGACTAATAGCAATGTGGTCTATCTGTGTCCATCGCTGAGTCGAGCTCGGTGGACGCCAGGTCAGACAGTGCCTTTCTTTATGTCTGAAATTTGTGCTGGCTAAAAATAGGCGGTTATCTGAGCATAGTTGTAATAGGCGATCACCGTTATCTGTACGTTCAGCTGGGATTCCGAAAGTGCCACCTAAGTGCCTTTCTGCCTCACTCAGTCTACCCACCTGTGCGTTGAGGTCACCTGCAACAACCACTACGTCCGAACGTTTGGCTTTCGAGAGGAGGTTAGACAGTTTATGGTAGAACTCGTCCTTCACTTCATCCGAACTACAGTCAGTGGGTGCGTAAGCAGAGATTACAAAGAGACAACGGCGAGTCTCACTATTCCTTTTAGTTCTCACTGTGCCGTTCAGCCTCATAGCGCAGAGGCGACTATCAACTGGGATCCAGTCTAGTAGTGAGTTTTCTGCCCTGGTGCTTAATGCTATACCTACACCTGCAAGACCACGAGAGCTAGCTATCGAATCTCCAGAAACTCGAAGGGTGAATTTTGCAGATTCACCAGATTGGTCAGGAGAGGTCAGGTGAATAACCACACTTGGGTCCTGTATGCGTGTCTCACAAACACAGCACACATCCATGCCCGAGTTGCTAGAGTCTTTGCCAACGAAGCCTGTTGGCCAATTTGACGGAGGGTGCGGACATTGAAGGCTCCAATATGTAATTTGGAGCGTGGTTTAAGGAGACCAGGGATGCTGTTCTGTGGACTCAGATCGTTGTCGAAGGCTGCAGAGGTAGGAGAAATTGAAGATGATGCAGCATCATTAATTAAGAGACGTGAAGGAAGATTAGAAGGTAATGATGGAGGAGGAGGATAGCAGTCAGAAGAAACTTGGGTGCTGACAGAGTTGTGAGGGCGGTTGACACTTCCCGGCTGCCCACACCGTGGAAGGCTATTTCTTCTTAAGGTACCTGAAAGAGATTTGTGTGACCGCAGAGCCCATCGGACATCTGCTTGAGGCCTGTCACACCCAGCCTTTTGAGTATGATTATTTTGAACTTTTGTATTTTTGGGGCCGGATGGTCGAAAGGAAACGACAAGTGAACCAACACCGCCGGCCCGGCAGACCGTGGGGCGTGGTGGAGTGTGTTATTTTTGGGGCCGACCTTTTCTAACCCCCCCTTCCACTGAGAAGGCAGCATCAGCATGGCACTGCTGGTCATCCAAGGGAAACACCTTACTGCTGTCACACCCCATCCAGCTAGCAGCAGTACGACTTCGCCCTCAGACCCCCATCATAGTGTAGCAATTTACACTATAACGGTAACTGCTTTTCGTCTAACCACTACCCAACAGACCTTTCTGGTATGGTAGGACCTCGAGGGAACAAGCGTTCCACCAGCATAGCTCGTTGGGTCATTGTGATATGCAAGCCCGACCACCACATCAAGGTAGCAGCTATCGGTCGGGAGCCATATTGTACAATATTCTTTGACGTAGCATTCTTCGTATGTAATGGGATGTATGTACATACCTATTACCTTCCAATGCAAAGTTAAACAGAAAGTACTTGAAAACTTCGGAGGGATGTTGAAATGGGTTCGAATTACTTTCGGGCTGATGCCTGGAATTTCCAGTGCACCGAAACTTGGTGGTGTATAGGTATTTCTTCATGTGCTTAGACTATGTACAGATTACGGGATAAAAATAGTCCAGTTTCTCTTTTGGTCCTTGTTTACCTGATTAAAAGTAAACAGTTGGTGGTCATGATTCGACTCCTCTAGGTAAGATTGTGTTGTGCTTCAGCCCATATTGTTTTGAATTAATTATTACACTAAAACACATGAATTGCAAGGTAATGGATGAATTGACTTGGCATAGTAGGCTAAAACTGCAGTTTGATTGCATGAGATCACTTCATACGTCAAGCAATTGATGGATTACGAGTAAGAGTAGGATTTTGACTCAGTGAGTATGCGTCAATCGTTTTACCTACTTAGTGAGTTGTGTCAGCCCGGACAGATCAGTTGCTGGCGAAATCTCAGCTCGGAACCCAAAGCCTCGTTTGGCACTTTCCAACTAACACCATCTCCAGCACTGACGGGATATTCGAGTGTGCTGCAATTCATGGTGATGGTGATGTTAAGGAAATATGGGTTTCTGACCACTTGTGTGTTCACAGGATAGCTCGCATGTGGTAGAGTCACCATGTGGTCAGTGTTGAGGCTAAGTAAAGTGTACTGGGCAAGAAAGGTAAGTTATTCGATAAGGTTGTGAACCTGCACCGACCTAAGCGGCTTGGACATGTGTTGCACATTCCTAGCCACTGCATACCTCCACGTGCAGTGTCAGCTAAAGTAGAGTTGAATTGTAAGAAAGCATGGGATGGCTAGACCAAGTAAGCTGTGATATAAGTTCATGAAGTCTGTGACTTTTGGTAAAAGCAGCGTAAGTAGATGTGAACTGCCTGGTTGGCGTCCTCGAGATAATGGGCATAGATGGTTAAAGATTCAATGAAATGGCTAAATATTGGTAAAAATGCACAGATGTATTGACTCACTGACGTATAAAGCTTGAACACTCATCCTGATTTTTGAGTTCCTTTTCCTTCCACACACGTTTGTTTACTTTGGTACCACTTTTTTACCCACTTGTTGTTTGGATGCTGTTGTGGAGCGTGACAGCTTGAACCAGTGCACTCCTGTGCGAGGTTCTACATTGGTTCTATTTGTCTTACATGATTCCACTTACTTTTCTGAAAGTAGTCAGATACTGTCTTCAAACAATAGGTGTAACTCTCTCTGTAGAAGAAGTTGGCGGGCATATTTGCTGTCATCCTGGTCGGAATTTGTATATATTTGATCTTTTTTTATGTTGGCAGACGTAAATACAAGCTCCATCCAACTAGGATTGAATGGAGTTTTGATGATGAGAGAATTATAAGGTGTTTGGGAATAATTTAATTTTTGATGAAAGGGTATTTAGTGCGACTATAAGTGCCTTCAGTAGTTATCTCTGCTCAATCAAATCATTAATATAGTTCCAGAATATAGTTTATGTAGGAACCACCTTTATCTTACGCTTCAAGTTACAGTCAAGAACTATCTTCTCTCTTCTAACTGGTTAGCCAATGCTCTAGTTCTCGGTGAAGTCGCACCTATAGATGCCCTAGGGTTACTTGAAAGAATACTAACGACTCGATCATGAAACTGAGATGTTGCGGGTCATACAGATGATTATTCAAAGAAAACTTATTTCATTTGGAAGAGCTAGGAATCAAATCAGGAGCTGGTAAGGTTTCCTAGTAGTAATGTTTAGCTTGAGTTTGTTGTTTTGGTTGCGTATATGTCAGTCAATATGAACATAGGACCAGGACGTAGGACTGGAAGTGCCAGGGGTCTTGTCTTGATGTTCCATTTAGGCTCCGACTGGATAACGGGCAACGTAATAGTAGCTGGAGGCCGACTGAACTGTTCCTCGAAGTGTTCCAACCACCGACCTTTTCGCACCAATTCCCTTGACAAGTTTAAATGATCATCTACTATTACCTATCGTCACTGTCTTTGCTATCTCTTTAGCCTTCACTATCTGCGGTCATTGCATAGAGTTTTTCCCAGTTTGCCTTTGAGTTGTGCTCGCTCGTCATCGTACTTGGAGCCTGCAGAGATGCGTTTTCGTGGATCCGTTAATTAAGAAGAAATGAGATTTACTGAGTCTTTCTAACCACTTTCTGCGAGTCGATTACGGTCTTCGCTATTTTTACAACAAAGTGGAGATGGTATCAAGCTTCGTCTGGTTGAGTGATACTGCTCTGTCCCGGTAACTCGAGCCAATTTCTCACTGAAGGCAGCCTAGTGCTTTGGTTGCATTACATTCTCAGTGGCTTTGTTGCTAGTTTTCCTACTTCCATTGAGACGTAGACGCACATGAGCTGGAACCAGGGCGTGATCGTTATCCAAATACACGTACCCGACCATCGCTTCAAAGTATAAGCTATGAGCTGGGTACTTTAACCAGGGTGAGATATGTCATTCGTCCGACTACTAACCATCACCAGGTTTTTGTCTTAGCTTTGAATGTGTTATTGAGGCATTGACAAAACGTCTTGATGCATCATGCATTGACATTTTATTTAAGTCTACAGTTCAAACTTTTTGATGCATTTTATAGGAGAAAAACACTTTGTGGAACAGTTGATTATTTATGTCCGGAAATGATTGCTGGGGATTCGCATGATGAACGTGTCGATCACTGGGCTGTTGGGGTTCTGTGTTATGAGATGCTTTGTGGCAAGCCCCCATTTGAACATCCTAATGTGAAAGATACATATGCCTGTATCAAAGCCGTTAAATATACTTTTCCTTCTAGTATGTCATTGCTGGCACAGGATTTGATTTCCAAGGTAATTTCTAAATGTTTTGTTGACCCATAATGCTGGTAATTTGTAAGACTAGTAAACAAACTGCATTTGATAGACTTTTCTCAAAAAAACCGAGATCGTAAGTAAATATTGTTGTGCTTCATGAGTTTCCCTAAATGTGTTAATGAAAAATAAATAAGCGACTGATAGTCAGAATGTGACTTTTATTCGCTTTTTGCATTGCCTTCAAAAAGCCATCAGGGTTAGATCAACATAGACTATCAATAGACCATATGTATCAAGCAGTTTTGTTTTCCTAAGCGTACGTTAAGCGGTGGGAAGTGTTTGCATCTGTAAACTAACTCAGAGAGGTCGATTACTGAAAGTGTGTTCATCGAATCAGTATGTGATGCATTCATTTAGAGTGATTCAAAAATCTCAGCTCTATGGAAAATTGTAATCACATTAAAATTAAAGAGCAACATGCAGTAGAAATACCAACATCAAGCGAAGCAGCTGCATGATCACTTTGATGTAGTTATGAGTAATAGATTATTTTTTCAAATCTCGTCCAGGAAATAATTTACTACTATGTGTAGTGTCAAATAAACTAATCAAAAAAGTGCTCGAATTCATGTTTTGTAAGGTTAATAAATTTCATTAAGGTGTGTGTTTGTTGGTTTGAATTGTAGATGCACTCAACCCTTTTTGCTGTTAGCTTCTATTGTTTGTTCAGCTACTAGCTATGTGTTGCATTTCATCTCCTTTTCATAGTAATTCCTTTTTAATACCCTTACAGATCCTTAAACGTTATCCTACAGATCGATTGTCTTTGGAAGGCATCATGTCTCACCCATGGGTTCGAAGCTTCACCGGCAAAGGAAACCTTCAGCGCATTCGACCGTCAAATCGAAAGTAGTATTCTTGTGTTCTTGTTTCATTCCCCCCTAGCTTTTTTTCACATATCTCAATATATTTCTACTTACTCCTAGTGTTTTTTGTTTGTTGATCTAAAGAGTAATAAAAGTGCTAAGCGATTTAAAGATTTAGTATATTTTTTGGTAATAGTGACCAGGAGGTGTTTTGTTAGGTCTAGTGTGTTGCAGCTACTTACTGGTTTACCTGTGTACTCCACACTAACATTCAGCAATGGCCTCATTCTAGCGATGGGACACTGAGTATGTGATAATCTCTCAAATAGTCTAGTCAATCATGTGTCTACAGTGTCACTACGTGTTCAACTCAGTGTTCCGAGTGTCTGTCTAACGAATTTGTTGCTTTCACTTGGAAACTACTCAGAGTTATTCATTCACGCTTGATTCTGTGTGCGGTTTGCATTTCTTGAGGTTCCTCTTTCCGTTTTGGCCGGTGCTGACCAATTATATGGTACAAGATCTGATAATCGAGCTTCCTAGAGCAATGAATCAGGAGAGCTACGTTATTGGGTGTAACCGGATGCAGATAAGGTCTGAGGACGAATGCTCTGATTGTTGTGTGTATTGCTGATTTACAGAATTAGGAGAATGTAAACCATAAGATTTCTAAGTAATGGCTGATTGGTAGCGTGGTTGTGGCGAGACCTGTTTGTCCTGGATTTGTTGTTTGGTGGGTGCTCACTGCCGAGGAGTTCCGTGCCAGAACGAAACAGTTGTTCAATCCATCTATGTTTTTAATGATTTTACAAACGTTAGTCCGTGTTGAATGCTTTATAATCTACTTGTTGCTTCCATCTCTTTCGCAGGTTGTGATCACCAGACTTCACAGTCTTTGCATTCACTTATATAATTTTCCGCCTAAGGAACTTGAATAAGCCAACCTCATTTTCGACTGAGTGGGTATAATAAGGGTAGGGAAGGACTAGAAAGACCTAATGCTGATTAGTTGGACGTTTAACAGGCGCAGTCGATCCTACAGTTTTCATTTTGATCCTTTGCATTATGTGGTGAATTGTTGACAGCTTTGTAAATTTAGAGCCATCTTCTACCCAGATACAACACGAGGTGTAACCGGTCCGCTAATGACAATCTGTGTAAGATGGCCATTCGTTGGCAGTGGGGATGCAAGATAAGTTCATCAACATAGGTCCTAGGAAAACTACTCAACAGAGGAAGCTGTTACACCATCTATCAAGAAAACGCAGCAGGCTGGAGGTGGGGGTAAATTAAGAGGGTAAAATGGTTTGTATTTAGACCCAAGATTGATAAAAGTGTAGAATGAGTGCCAGTGTTGTGCATACGTTAGCCATCTGCAGCTGGTTGCGAGGTGTCTATTATTCGGACTTAATTTCCAGGGCTGGGCAGGTAGCACGTAAGCTTTGGTTCTACAAGTTTGTACTGACTAAAAGTAGTAGGACGTGCATTGAGCTGCAGAGTCTTTTGTAGCGGTTGTTTCCGAGATTGACTTGATACTCATTGGGGGGCTTTCCGGCGTCGTAGCTGAAATTATTTATATAGGAGTCGAAGCGCAAAGTTTGGAAACGAGAGCTTGTAACTTCAAAATAACTAAGTCTTCAGTCTGGAAGACAATTTAAAAGTCGGTATTTGAATGTTTCCATCAAATCAGTGCCTACCTCATGCAGCAGGTATCAGTCGACATTTATTCCTGACTTCAAAAATATCGAGAACTGACAGAAGTAGAAAAATGTGAACCATTGGATTAGAACGAGTGACTCAACTGTGACTTGCTACTCGCGAAATCTGAAGATAATGTGTTCGATCCCTGGCGGGGTTGTGGATGCACATTGCAGAGGAGGCCTACACTAGGATGAAACATCTATCCAGTGCTCCTTTTTTCCGCAGCTGATTTCAGTCCATGTTGATTCCTGTCGCAACATCTCCCTTGAAAGCCAAGGTAAGAAACGGTCTTTTTTTACAACAGTGATGATATCCCGCCCTCTTCTTGCTTTTACAGTATTTCTTCACGAACTTCATTTAATAACCATTATTGTGTAGATGTTGTTCGATTGTAGTACACTAATGATTCCGATTTAGATATTTTGGAAAGTACTGGTCAAGTGAAAAGAACTTTTTCTCAATTCGTTCTCTTTCTAGTTTTACGCTAGTATATAGGTTTACAATTTAAAACATCAATCAGGTGGTAGTGAGCTTATAAACAATAATTATAGATCTTAAGAATGTCATAAATATGATAAATTTGGGGAATCAGAGTGCTAATAATCATCAGAGCAATTATATATGATTAGAAATAGTAATTATAATTATGTGAGACAAGTTATTCTCCGATAAACTGGATAGTAACTGGTGGAATGCCTTCCTTGAGTGGTCAGTCATATTCAAAAGTAATTACGTAAGGATAAGAAAACAAATGAATGTTGATGGAACAAGAAGGCGGAGTTTTGTGCATAATGCTAAGCCCTATCCAGTGGATAACACTATTTCACCGTGTGATATTTCTGACTAACGGATCAAAATGGAATTACGACTTAATTCAGTATCTAGGTTTTACTCCAATATTATTGCCTAATTCATTCAAATATTTGTTAAGATAATTAGATTTTGAACGTAGATTGGTTATCGCGATTTAGGTTGAGTCAGTATAAGATTTGGTAACACGACGAAGTTTTATGTGATGACAAATTCTGGGAACGTAGACATTTGAAGAACTGACACAAAACAGAAAGTTTCGGGACAATTTTTATAAAACTTTGGACTAGCAACCTCTGCATGGAAGCTACTAGACTGAAGTCGTATAAAAATTGTCTTGAAACTCAGAAATATTCAAACCAAGTTGCGATTTGATGACTTGTAGAAACTTTGGCATTGGGTAAATGATATTCATTGTTTTTGTATTTGTTTTTCCCAGTCAATGTAAAACAAATTTGTTTCAGCTGACATTTCGCTTTTAATGTTGATAGCTTTATCACATTCATAGTCAACAGGAATTTTGAAAATCCAAGCTTGCTTATATGATAACTTGGTATGCGTTCTTCTTCATGAATGATTCTGCGCTGTCAAGTTGGAGAAAGATGAAATCCATATGTAGTGTATTACGTGTATAGAGTGTATGAATTACAGATTGAAATTTGTACGTATCGCATACATTTTGGTTATGTCAGTATGTCAAGATGGGTTGAGACCAGATCAAACTATGGTTTTTTCTCTCATTCCTTCTTAGACAATTTTGATCCCACTTTATGTGAAGAGATTCCGATGCGAGACGTTCTTTATAATTTCTAAAGCCTTTTTGAATAGTTTCGATATTGTCAATATCGATGTTGTGACCTGGAATTGTAGTGTATAGAGCTATAGCTCAAGTGTTTTCAGCCCTACTGAATTTCTAGAGAGTCGGGTGGAAGCTCTTCGGTGTTCATTTTTTCTAATTTTGATTACTTCACGTGAAGTCTGTTCTACGCACACTGACTGCATCGCAGTCTGAGTATTTTATTATATGAACACAGATTGTGAATCGAAAGGAACTGTGCCCTTCATATGGACTGAGTTGTTCTGCAATGTGTTTGATTTTCTGTGGTAAGCGCTGATATTGCATTCGTTGAGCGCCCTCTTAATTTTATCCGAGGTGTGTGATCTGTACGGGATGACTGTTGTTGAGGCCCATGATTTAGGAGTACTTTTACGATCTAATTTAATATAATTTTCTATTCTGCAAATGGATTTCACCTGATAGTTATTCATTTTAAGTATCCTGTTCACTTATTTTAATTACTTAACTCTTTCAATTTCATCGGTTATTCTAGTGTGTGCTCTCCTTAAAGAAAGATTGGAGGCAACAAAAACCTTCGCATTGATTGGATGTGATGAATTGAAATCTAAATATTTGTTCGAATTCGTTGCTTTCTTGAAAATGGTCATACCTAAATGTCCATTTTCTTACCGCTTAACAAGACAATGAAGGAAAGGCAGTTCGCCACTATCCGTTTCTTTCTCTGGGCTGAACTTGATACTAGGTGATCTAGAGTTCGGATGGTTTAAGAATAACTGGTATAAGTAGCGTTTTAAAATTTTGACTATGTCATCAACAAACCTCAGCCAAATTTTCGGCTTTCGTAAGTGTGTGAAGACACTTTCTTCGAATTTACCCATAAATAGGTTAACTTCTGTGAGTGAAATAGGTGGACCTGTCACTACATCATTATTTTGCCAATCTCATGTATTCAGGTTTTCAGCTGAAGAAATCAATGGCGTCGTCTTATCCTGCAAATGGTGTTCTCGTTGCATTTTTCATATTCTAGTAAATTTGTGGCACAATTAATCTCGCTGCATTAAAAAAGCTTAAATATGGTTTTTCATCAGTGGACTCATTTGAGTCCTATCTATTACTCAGGTTTGCCGGTTGTATGTATCTGTACATGTTTTGTATTTGTACAGCTTGTAAGCGATTGGAAAGAAAGTGATGAAATATTGTGAATTCACTGTAGTCTGCACACATTATTCTTCTTGCCTTATTAAAATTTATAAAGAGATTTAGAACTTCAGAATAACATGCAGTAAGTTTCCTGTTCGATCTCAAAGTCAAAACTGAATCATTGATTCAAGATGAATGAACACACTAAAAGTATAGTCTAATTACCACTGTACAGTTTTGAAATGCTTATATTCCTTCACATTTCTGTAATTTTCCACACCACGAATGATAAACTTGGTGAACACTATGCAAAATCCTAGAAGCTCAAGATAGTGAGCATTAGAAGTGCTTTCAATCCTATACAGACTCGACAGTCAATCATAGTGCATTACACAGCAGGTTTATCAGTTAGACATGCTGAAGACTAACCTGAACAGTATACTCGCCCTTTAGTAGATTGTCGGATATCTTATCAGTGCCAGAGATGATGTTAGTTGGCGGATGCCAAACAAGCATTTTGGTTCCGATTTGGGATTTTGCCATTAACTGACCTGTTTGTGCTGATTCAAATGAAGCGGTCACCTGCCGTCTGCATTGTAACCAGAGATTCGTAAGTGATCACGCCATTCGATTTAAACGCTTGCTGAAGACGTTATGAGCACCACTCATCAGAGTAGCACAGATCCATTTTATTTCGTGGTTTCTCACCAGCTGCTTATAA